TGTTGAGGGAAGAGGGAAGAGTAACATAGCTGTTAGTCCAGATTTGCTCCGCCTGGCAACACCCAATGAAACACACCCCTTACACTAACACTTTTGGTTCTGCAGTGCTAGGTTTGAGGTCCCCCAAGTGCCCTAGCAGCGTAGGACTGGTAAAGAAATTGAAAATACAGTATTCCATTCCATTACATAATCAGCTCCACCAGTTTCTGTGTAAGGACTGTCTACTTTTCAAGAGAGAGAGAGACTGAAATTGATTCTCTTACAACAAAATCATCTTTCACATAACATTAATTTTAAACATAAAGAAGAAGACTTAAAAGACATATAAGTATTACCTTAGCTGTAAGTTGTTTTCAGGTATGAATTTACATATACTCTCTTGGAAATTCAAATGATCTTTCTTTTGTTCTTCTTACTGAAAAAACTTTGTAAACAAGTTTTTTAAAAGCATTAGTAGCACTTATGGTCCTGGTAAAATCTTAATGGAAAACTTTGTTTTGTGCAGACATTTCGTTTGAAGGTGAACTACCGTATTTTTCGCCCCATAAGACGCACCGGCCCATAAGACGCACCTAGTTTTTTGGGGGGGAAATAAAGGAAAAAAATTTTATTTCCCCCCCAGGTGCGCTGCGCTACACCAGGAGCTTGGGGCGTGCGGAGCTCAGCACGCCCCAAGCTTCTGCGTGCCGGCAAGCAGTCCGCTAGCCCTGGGAGAGCGGCGGGGCTCTCCCAGGGCTAGCGGATCGCTGCGCTACACCAGGAGCTTGGGGCGTGCTGAGCTCAGCGCGCCCCAAGCTTCTGCATGCGCGCAAGCAGTCCGCTAGCCTTGGGAGAGCCGCGGGGCTCTCCCAGGGCTAGCGGATCGCTGCGCTACATCAGGAGCTTGGAGCGTGCTGAGCTCAGCGCGCCCCAAGCTTCTAGGTGCGCGCAAGCAGTCCGCTAGCCTTGGGAGAGCCGCGGGGCTCTCCCAGGGCTAGCGGATTGCTGGGCTACACCAGGAGCTTGGGGCGTGCTGAGCTCAGCGCGCCCCAAGCTTCTAGGTGCGCGCAAGCAGTCCGCTAGCCTTGGGAGAGCCGCGGGGCTCTCCCAGGGCTAGGGGACCCCTGCGCTACACCAGAAGCTTGGGGCGTGCCGAGCTCAGCGCGCCCCAAGCTTCTGCGTGCGCGCAAGCAGTCCGCTAGCCCTGGGAGAGCCGCGCGGCTCTCCCAAGGCTAGCGGACTGCTTGCGCGCACCTAGAAGCACAGGCTGCCGCCCCAAGCCTCGCGCACCCGGTGGGACCTCCTGCCGGGTGCGCGAGGCTTGCAGACACTCGCCCGAAGCAGGGGGAGCCCTCCGGAGGGCTCCCCGTGCTTTGGGCGACAGGCTGCCGCCCCAAGCCTCGCGCACCCGGTGGGACCTCCTGCCGGGAGCGCGAGGCTTGCTGACACTCGCCCGAAGCAGGGGAAGCCCTCCGGAGGGCTCCCCGTGCTTCGGGCGACAGGCTGCCGCCCCAAGCCTCGCGCACCCGGTGGGACCTCCTGCCGGGTGCGCGAGGCTTGCAGACACTCGCCCGAAGCAGGGGGAGCCCTCCCGAGGGCTCCCCGTGCTTCGGGCGACAGGCTGCCACCCCAAGCCTCGCGCACCCGGTGCGACCTCCTGCCGGGTGCGCGAGGCTTGCAGACACTCGCCCGAAGCAGGGGGAGCCCTCCCGAGGGCTCCCCGTGCTTCGGGCGACAGGCTGCCGCCCCAAGCCTCGCGCACCCGGTGCGACCTCCTGCCGGGTGCGCGAGGCTTGCAGACACTCGCCCGAAGCAGGGGGAGCCCTCCCGAGGGCTCCCCATGCTTCGGGCGACAGGCTGCCGCCCCAAGCCTCGCGCACCCGGTGCGACCTCCTGCTGGGTGCGCGAGGCTTGCAGACACTCGCCCGAAGCAGGGGGAGCCCTCCCGAGGGCTCCCCGTGCTTCGGGCGACAGGCTGCCGCCCCAAGCCTCGCGCACCCGGTGGGACCTCCTGCCGGGAGCGCGAGGCTTGCAGGCATTCGCCCCATAAGACGCACCCCGATTTCCCCTTCATTTTTGGAGGGGAAAAAGTGCGTCTTATGGGGCGAAAAATACGGTATTACTACTGAAAATCAGCTATACACTGCCACTGCATATGGGCACTGAGATGCTTATTTCAGATTCTGATTGCATATGCATTGGCCTGTAAAAAAGAACTTGCTTTTTTTTTTTCCCATCTTGAATCTGGCAATCAACATTCTGCACCGTTCAATTATTCCAAGCCTGTGATTGTTTGGACTTTCTCAGCATGTTAGCATATAATATCTATAAAGCCCTGATTTTTATTTTAATGTATCTAGTATCCATGATGGTGTCATTTTGTGCATGGCCTTGGGGTTTTCCAGTAGTTTTGTAAAACTAACCATAAAGCTTCTGCGCTATCTGCCTTGCATGATGGCATAACTGGATTATTAGTTAAATTTACTTGGACTGACCTTGTTGTGAATGATCTTAGTCTTCCAAATGTATTATTTGTGTTATATCGACTTCTCATCAGGTTAGCAATTCCACCCATGATTCCCTGGAGGCTAAACACTTGGAAAAATATATTTATATATATTTGTAACATTTGAATTGTAACAACTATTGCTTGGTCACAACTATATTCTTCCTGGGCAATTTGTTCAAGTGGCTGCTGTTTGTACAGCTCAGTCACTCTTAGATGATTCTGACTATCTGCATCCATTTCAACCTGCTTTCAGACCAGTTTTCACCTCAAAAATGTACCTGGAGAATTCTGCTTTGTGACTTTTGATACCTTGATTGCAACATGCTCCTGGATAAACCATCTGGATTAGAGATTGGCAGATTATACATCAGTGGATCTATTCCTACTTGGGGGCTGCTTCCATAGGGTGACACTGTAAAGCTACTGCTCGTAGGGGTCCTGCCAGTCTATATTCTGTTCTTGAGTCTGCCTAATTAAAGCCTGTCATTTCTCACACTCTGCATAAACCCCCTTGTCTGCCATCTGAAGGCCTGCTTCTGGTCCCATCTGAGGACCTCTTCCAGGTTACGCTGCTATCTTAAGTTTGGTGGATGGTGACTGGAGAGAGAGTCTTGGCCATTGTGGCCCTTTGAATATCCAACACTTTCCCTAGGAAGGAATGCCTGGTCAAAATTCTAAAGTACTTTCAATACTGTGGAGGACTTTTTGTTTGCTCAGGCTTGTTATAACTGGTTTTATTGTCATTTTATAGCTTTGCTGGGATTTTTAGTGATTTTGATGTAATCTTCTGTGATTCTGTTGCAATCTTTAAAATGATTCCCCCTCTGGCAGAAGTGATTTGGTTGTACCTGTTTTTAAGGGTATGAAACTGCTGTTAACTAATGGGTGGCTTTAAAATTCACTAAAGAAAGAAAGAATACTGTATATGCTGAAGTTAAGAGGTATACACAGTGGAAATGAAGTTCCCCAATATGAAATTATGTCATATAATCACATTGTTCCACTTCCGCACCTGTTCACCTTCCCTAATATCGGAATTATTTGGAGGAGAAGAGACTTGTGGCGTCTGTTCCAAAAGAACACAGGTAGAGCTGCTAGGGTTGTGAGTGCATAGTCCTTTTTTAAAAAGCTGAACATTGATCAGAGGCAGTTTTAGGGTGGTATGAATGCTGTAGAATGGAGTGAGAGAGGCAAGGGGTGCCAAATTTTAGCGCTGCGCAGGGTGCCACTGAAATTTGAGAGCCCCAGATCCACCACTGCATTGATCAACCAACTGTATGACATGGAAGAGGAAGCAAGGGAGACTGAATTGAGCTCCTCTTCCTCCTCTTGAACTTCTGACTGGTGAAATTTTATTTGTACTTAAAGGTCTTTATGCACACAACTCTGCTGTTCAACTAAGAAGACAAATCACATATATATTGGTTTGCAATTCCTTATCTAGTTACATAGATAATGGCTGATAGTAGTCTACTTAAATACATATGTATACATACAGGAACCGCATCATTTTAATGTACCTAGATAACTCAAAAGATCAATACTTTAGATTCGTTCTGATGTGCAGTGACCATGTGGCATATATGGGATCTACCAAATTCCTGCGTTGATTATGTGTATGATGTATGAGTAAATACTCATCCCATAGGGATTTCAGTGCATTTCAGTGTGTGTGGCACACAAATGCATACTGCATATATATTCTGCAGGATCAAAGTTTTCATTAATGCAAAAATCAAAAGCACAAAGAAAAAAGAAAACATAATCAAACTACAGTATAGTGGTTGACATTTCCAATAAAATAGAGAGCAGATAATATAGAAAAATAAAAGCAGCAAAACACATCATGAAAGCAAAAGTTCATAATTCACTGGGGGAAGAGAGCTTTGTATATCTGAATTTCACATGCAGGAAATGATCCCCACCCAATGGTACAGAAACATGGTCTTCTTTACCTCTAGTCCCATGTGATGGTCTTTTAGGCACTGAGTGAAAATCTTTTTCTTTCCTCCAAAGCCTTTAATTTTAATGGGTATATTATTATTTTTTGGTGCTTTCAGATTCCTGCATCAAGTTAATTTAATTTGCTGGTTTTATATTGGAGTAGATACAAAGCTAGGTGGTGGTGGTAGTAGTAGTAGTTGTTGTTTCTGCTGTTTTTTATTATTATAGGTTTTGTTGTCTAAACAATGGATTGTGTTTTGCATTTTAATAGGGCTATAAACTAAATTATAATGAATAAAATAATACAATAGTGCCCCTACTTCTCTCGCTCATATATAGGGCATTCATTCATATGGGGGAAAGCAAGGAGAAATATAAACATTCATTATCTGAAGGGAACATGCTTTCTTCCTTTATTGACCTCAAACATCGAGAATCAAACTTGCTGCTGTCTGTATAAACTCAAGCTAGGTCACACTGGGAGAGTCGGGCTGAATGATGGATCTGAATTTTACATTTAGAAAAAGAGGTATACTTAATCAAATCAACTGTTCTTCTGTTTTTACAGCTTGTAGGTCAGGATTCTACAAAGCATTTGCTGGAAATATAAAGTGTTCAAAATGCCCTCCACACAGCCAAACCTTTGTGGAAGCAACATCTGTGTGTCAGTGTGAAAAGGGTTACTTTCGAGCTGAGAAGGATCCGGCAACTATGGCATGTACCCGTAAGTGTGAATCATACTGGTATTTGAAATTCTTTCCTTGTCTCTCTCATTATCTCAGAAGACAAAAATAGCACTTATTTTATATTCCTCTCACAAAAGCTAAAAGTATGAGAGCATGTTTTCGTTAATCAAGAATGCAAATCAGGTTTTCATTTATTCCCAGTGCTCCTTTAAATAAGCAAAAAAATGCTCTTCAATCTAAAGTGCCTTTTAAAAACACCACCACAATAATAGATAGAATGTTACCAAAACTGTGTTATTAACAGAGTGACCCCACGTTTCAAATCTGGGTACTGGTATACATAATATATAATGTGTATAAGGGGGAAAAACACCCTTGTACATAATGGGCATTTCATCCATGCAGTACATGGATGAAAACACTCCATGTACTGCAACATATCTGTAAAGTATATATCCTGAAAATGCCCTTGGAAAAATAAATACCAGACCCCTTTTACAGACTCAGATATAGTTGCAGTGCTTAGAGTTTAAAATGGGACTATAACATTATGGCTCAGGATCAAATGACCAATTAAAACAAAATAAAGCTATTCCAATTCCCATCAGCCACTCCCAAAGGCAGTCCTGGCTGGCAAGTAACATAGTCTAACTGTGTAAAAAGTCATACTGAACTTCCATTACAGCCCTCTGGCGAAGAGTCTCAAACAGTTATACATATTGCCATGGCTGTCACAACCCGCTCATTCAAATGAATTGCTGAGGAAAGCCGACCCACATTACCAGCCCCTTCCCACATGCCAGTAAGCCTTAGGATGGTGAATCTGGCAGGCTCTGAGGAGCTTATGAGTTATGGAAGATAGCTTAGGAAGCTTCCTTACAACTGTTTCAGGATATTTATCATGTTCTCGCACTTTCTCAACTCCACTCCGAGATTACATTACATCACAACACCCAAGTAAACACATGTGCCATCGTATCCTGACAGTACAGAATAAGTGGACTAAAAATAACGCCTTAGCAACGTCCAGTTTAGATATGGTATTTAAAAAATAAAAATCCTGCTCAGCACCATGACAACCAACCGAACCCATAGTGCTAGGAATCTGGAGAGGATGGATCAACAACAACAACTTCTACTATTACCCTGAATTTGTTGAACACTTAAATCTAGGTTGCACATACTCTAATTAAATACTATGAGAACTGCGTTCTAACTGCCTTTGGGACTGTTAAACCTCCAGAAGGATGATTGTAGAGGCAAAGGGTCATTAGGGTGGAAAAGAGACATTTGCAAAATTGTCTGATACCTCTTGCCTCTTTCAATCACTTTCTGATTCTTAATAGTCATCAGTGCTTAATATTTTGTTTATAAACAAGATATATTAATGGTTCTGTAATGGTTCTAGGGGTTGCTCATGCGTAAGCCGGTGCAAACACCTGGCTGGGTTGCCTGAGTGAACCTTTTCTGTCCGGACAGCCACTCTCTCGTGGCTGTCTCAATCGCTGGCAGAATCCGTCAGTGGGCGTTTCTTAAACTTCTTCCAGCAAAGAAGCTCTTTGACGCCTAGTCTCCTCCTACTCTCTCTGCGCGAAAGCCTTCTGCGCAAGGAGGGCGTAGGCAGCGGAGGACCTCTACTCTCCCCGCTGGTCCCCGGCAAGGAGTCATGGGACCGCCTCGCCGCTTCCCCCATCTGCCCCCCTACTCCACTGGTGCTACACTGATTCTCTTCCCCAGAAGATGGGCTGCCTCTCCCACTCCCGGGACGCTCTCTGGAATCCCTCTGGATTTTGTTCTCTCCCTCCGGCACTGATGGCAGTTCCCTGACAGGTTCTAAAAGAAAATAAACCACAGTTGGCTTCTTTCTAATTTATGATTTTACCATGTGCACATCAGTACAATTTCAATCTATCTTGTTCCTGAATGGTGCAACACTTTATTCTACTTATAAGATGGGATAGGTTAATGGGATGTTGAAGCTGGATTGCAATTCAGTAAGAAAAGCATATATTAAAGATATACTGATCAAGGACTAGAGAATGACATAACAAATCCTCCATCCTTACTACGACTTTGGCATGTTTCTACAACAGCAGCTCCAGACAGTAAGCCATTTCTGAAGCACAAAGTAGTGTCAAAATAATTTTTGAATGTACACCAAGATCCCTTTGTATATTCAACATACCTTTCTGGATCCCAGGCAGCATTTTATTCTTTTCTATAAAATAAATTATACAGGCATTAGTATAATTATTATGCGCAAAACTGGAATAGTCACAATGTCTGATGCATGTTGGTGAAAAACATTAATCTTTTAAAACTGTCAGTATACTTGCTTGCCTAAACAAAATATATAGCATGAAGAAATTCCTGAGCGTATTGCTCACAGATGCCTGCAAAAAGGTTATGGCTGCCGGGGTTTTTTTTCCAATGTGACATATAATCTATGCATAATTTACAAGTGATAACAAAGCAATCAGGCCACATTCATAAAAATCCCAATGACACATAATTTAGCAGAATCTGAGGATTAGAATTAATTGTCTCTCTTTGTTCCAAGTTCTAAATCTTAGTAAATGATTCACTGCATGTCATTACAGCTTAATATTTGCATGAAATCACAGTTTAGATGGCATAATTTAATGGCAATTAAAAACCTATTTAATCGTCATGCAAATTGGCACGAGGGCCCTTGAGTATGAAGGGTGCCTATTTCTTCAGTGTCTGCAGGCGGACAGTTATAAACTTTGAAACACTCCTACTACAATTGATAACAATTTTCCTGTTCAGAGCAATATGAATGCATAATAAATCATATTTTTATCCTAAAATAAGACCAAGATTCTCTGTACATTGCTTTACCAAACGGAACTATTAGCAATCATTGGGAAATTGAAAAAGACAGAAACTAACATGCACATATTTTTTTCAGGTGCACACTGAATATAATTATACATAACATACACAAACTAAAATAAATCAAGATAGCATACAGGTGTTTTGTCAATAATTGGATGTGATGCTGCACATAGTCTCCCTCTCTGATACAAAAGCCTTTTTTTAAAAAAAGGGGGGGGGGCTAAAATTCTTAAGACTGATTCTTCAAGAGCAGAAATGGGAGGAAGTTTCAACGCCCTGATTCTGTTTCCCCTACAAACATCTGATTGGTAGAATTCTCTACACTTCTATTCCTGTTGGCATTTGTAGATAAAAGTCATTGGGTGAGAATAGTTGTGGCCCAGAGAATTTAAAATCCAGATACCAGATTCTATGCTGCGGGCATATTTTGTCATCCTAACCATACAAGCCCCATCCTGAATCTGTCTCGAGTTCTGTTCCTAGTATTTTATCTGACTTTGTTTCCTGACTTTGTTTCTAGCATGTTCTTTTGTGATCTTGGCATGAGTTCCTGTAGGACAGTTTACATGTTCCTTAAGAACAATATGAGGGTAGCTGGCTTTTGTTTTGTTTTTAAGTTTGTAAGAATGTACCATGTTTGCCACATTTAATTTGTTTCTTTAAATGATGAAAGAGGGCTTTGGGGGTTAAAACACACACACATATATATACTAGTTCTAATGACAAACTATTTCCCCTTTTCCTTAGGGCCTCCTTCTGCTCCAAGGAACGTAATTTTTAACATAAATGAAACAGCTCTCATGTTGGAATGGAGCCCACCAAGTGACACAGGAGGAAGAAAAGACCTCACATATAGTGTCATTTGCAAGAAATGTGGATCTGATGCCAGCCAGTGTGAGATATGTGGAGGAGGTATCCGATTCATTCCAAGACATACTGGACTAATTAATTCCTCAGTAACTGTGCTTGATTTTGTGTCTCATGTGAACTACACTTTTGAAATAGAAGCCATGAATGGAGTCTCTGAATTAAGTTTTTCACCCAAGCAGTTCACAGCTATCACCATCACTACAGATCAAGATGGTAAGTTTGTGCTATTTGTATATCAGATATACTTAGAGCTTATGTCAGTTAACAGTACATTTTGTCACACACACACACACACACACACACACACACCCCGGAGTCAATAGAAACACTTAAAGCTATTCAGATCATTTATTTTTCCATGTTACTATTTTGTGCGGTGGAGAGGAAATGGTTTTAGGATGAAATAGGAGGTGTTTTGTTAAAATTAATGGTGCTATCCAGATGAAAAGGTGTTGCATTAACTGAAATTAATACAATGCTGGGACATATACTTAATTTTTTTAAGGCATGCCTGAAATTCTGTGTTTTTTCTCTGTTTTACAATGTGGAATTACTGGTGGGAAAGTCGAGGCTTGCTGATGTGTAAACTCTGTAAACTCCATTCATTTCAATAGTACACAGAGGAGTACCCAGTGGATATGACTGTAATTGCAGCTGTCATCCCATTGAAGTCAATGGTAACATTTCCATTGACTTCAGTCATTTGGTTGCACCCAGCATCTCCGTGTTTACCTGTGTAAAAAATGTACTTCAGATATTTAAAATATCAATATATACATATTGATACATGTCTCATGAATTTAATTTCACAAAATGTATCTCTCCAGCCAATTTGATAGGTACAAATGTAAGGTATTTAAATATTATGGCATTCTTATATGAATGACTATATAGAATTTGATCCATATAGAATTGGTATTGGAATTACTAAAGGGAGAATATTCAGTTCTTGTCCCCAGGCCTCCCTATTGTTTTTGTGCCAGTTGCATAGGAAAACAGTTGCATACAGACTGACAAGTATGGCTTCATTTTGGTTTTATTAAGTTGACATCTACAATGATCAATATGTATGTCCAATAGAAAACCAAACCTTCAGAACTTAAAATCAAATTTACACTTACCAGAAATTTAAAGCCTTATGTAGGTATTTAATCAGTGTTGTGGCTGCATAATGACCTGGTGTATCTGCATGTCAAGGAGAACCCTAGATGCTTGTGGGGGACGTTCACATTTTAATAATAATAATAATAATAATAATAATAATAATAATAGGCATGACAAGGTTTGAGCATGCTCACTGCTGGCCAGGAGACACATTGGCTAAAAGGGTGGGATTTGGCATCTTCTACTTGTTCTGTCTGGGGAAGTGTTCCAGCTTGCCAAATGGAACCATGCCTCTTCCCCCTGCGCATTGTTCTGGAAGTTCTCCCAACCCTCTGCCAAACCAATTTCAGCTGGCATAGGGGGAAGAGAAGGAGGAAAGCTCCTTGCAGAAGCAAATGTCCCTGTGCAGGACTTCCACTTACGGGACTGGTTTAGTGAATCCTGCCCAAATTATCAAAAGGGCTTCAAATTAATTAGGATCAGTGGGAAAGCACTTCTTCCAATCCTAATTTGTTTTACAAGGATTCTATCAGATGCAAAACCCTTTTTGCAGAGGTGCAAAATCTATGAGCCTCTGGTTGCTATTGGATTCCCATCAGCCTCTACCAGCATTGTCAGTGGTCAGGGATGATGACAGCTATAATTCAGCAACAGATGGAAAGCACAGGTTCCTCACCTCTGGCTTAAAGTATCCTGGGTTGTGAGTCCCTTCATACCAATTTCCTCTTCACCCCCACCCTCCCCTCCCCCAACACTATTGGACAGAAAAAATAAAAAATACCCCCCACACATACCAATAAGTTTGGAAATGAATGAGCAGCTTTGTGATCACCTTGCCTCAAACCTCAGCAGTCAGAACCTAACAGTATCATCAAAAGGGTATTTCCAAACCATTTATATCTCATCTCCCCATGACTCCTTGTGAGCAACCAACTTTTCACTGTATAGCTCAAATTACCAGCCCTGTGGGTAGTAATCACTGTTCTAATAGCACTTCTATAAAAGGGAGAGAAATCATATTGATAAGTGAAATAAACAGCAATAATTACACAGAGTTCACATGAGCTTACTTCCATATTTATATATTTTTGTCTATAAGGCTTGCCCTGCTGCACAGCTTTTTAATTGTTCTACTAACATGTATTTTTGAAAACACTCTAATGGCCTATTTCAACTACATTTAAATTTACTTAACAGCTTATTCTCTACTTTACATTTCCTCAGTTTCTAGGGAGGAGAAGAATACCTGTTCACTACCATTGTTAAGATATGTGTGCAGGCCTTTACTTACTAGTGTGCAGTTTCCAAATGGCTATTGCACTTGCATCAATGCCCCCAAAGTCATTAATTTTCTTTGCAAAGATACTGACATAATATACCTTTGCTCTTTAAAATATATAGTTTTCAACCATCCCTCTTTTGTACATCCATTTCTAGGCAGCAGAACTGGTGCTACCTTCATAAACATGCTTTATGAAGGCTTGCCATTTCATTTATCACCATGTCTTTTTCTGCAAAACTCTTCTTTTATGTCCAAATAAACTGACTGAGACTCTGAAAAGTGATCCTTAAATTCTTTGAAGCTTTACCAGTAGCACTGTTAATAATGGAAGAATTATTGTGGGGAATGCAAGCAGCGTACACACTTGGGTTTTACTGTCGGGCTATCATAGATTACAAAGGCAGAGGCCTTTCCTTGCTTGGATAAACTACAGTGGAAACCAACACAGTTATATGAAAAGCAGACAGTGGTAAAAGATACATATCTGCTGTCTTTAAAGATAAATCTTATGCCATCTCTCTGGCCATGCACATTTACACAGGAGTCCCAAGGATATGAACCAGCATAGCTTTCTTTCCATTGCTGGCATAACAACTGTGGTAAAGGAATGTAAAGATTAGAGCTCCTTGGAATTTGTTGTAGAGTATTGTGCATAAAGTCCAACCTCAAAAAGATGAATGAGATTCTTATACGAGGGGAGGGGATATAAGCATACCTTCTAAGTGCCCTGGGGGGAAACGGGTTATCCCGGTTTTTTTCATGCAAGTTCTCAGCAGCCATATTTGGTGCCTCAATCTCATCCTTTCTTGCGCTGTGCTCTTGCCCTGAAAAGAATACCGGGGGGGGGGGAATGAGGCATGGGTCATGTGACTTGCCCGGGAGCCTGTCTCAGAAGACATGCATTGTGGCTTGGGGTAGTAAAAAGTTGTACAATATGTTTAAGACCACCACATTTGTTGAATAAAGGTCAGAAAATCAAAGCTCTTAATTTATTTATCATTTGTTCCATTAAGGTATTACTTCCCATGAAACATTTTGAAGCTAGCAATAATAAAAACATCAACAAACAAAAACAGATGAAACAATTTCAAGTCCAACACAGATATAGACTGCGAGATAAATCTATATATTAATTAGTTTCAATGAAACACTCTGTGAGAAATGCGGTAAGATAAATAAATGACCAGGGATAGGTGCTCTGACTGCTAGATGGTCCGTCTAGGACACTATGTAGGGCTGTGTCATAACAGAGTGGGGAATGGGAACACTGTGTTACAGTGGTTCCTATGTCCAGGACCAAAGGCAAACAGTAGTATTGGGATAGTGCTTTTCAGCTCCCTGGGGGTTGTGTTATGGGCTGCTGCAGAGGATAATGCCAATGATTTTTAATATCTATATAAAGCTTCTGGAAGCGGTCATTAGGAGTTTGGGAATAAGGTGCCATCAGTATGCTCTGTTTCTCCGTAACATCTGAACTGAGAGAGGCTGTGCAGTCCCTGGACTGGTGCCTGGGCACAGTTGTGAGCTCAATGAGGAAAAACAAGCTAAGCTTGGATCCTAACAAGACAGGAGCATTGTGGGTGAGTGGTCCCCACGTCTGAGAAATTGGTCAGTTGCCTACCATGGATGGAGTTGCACTTTCCTAGAGTTCCTAGTGAAGATTGATTGACTGGTAAACCACTCTGAAAATTATTGCTCTGGGAGGGGAATAGGGCCTCCTAACAACTCTCAGCCCCCTTAACAAACAATAGCTCCCATAATTCTCTAGAGGAAACCATAATTGTTTAAAGTGGGTACCATATGATGTGAATGTGGCCACAGTCTCTCACACCAGTGGTAATGAAATCCCTTCATATTCCCATATGTAAGTGCAATTGGTCAAATTTAGATCACATGATTCTGTTGCTGGTGTGTGCCTGTCAACTTACCATAATTTTCATGTCCAGTTAACATTATCCTGCTGGGCCCAGTGTGTAAGGTAAATTTCCAAAAGGAATTCCCATCAGCTCTAGCCAGCGCAGTTATAGCCCAAACCATCTGGAGGGCATCAAATATCAAAACAGAATCCAGGATGTTACTCTTGAGTACGCCTGAGGGAAGCGTGACTCTTCCTTCAATTTATCTTGCTTCTCCAACTGATGAACAGAACAATTTTTACCTGACAGGCAGTTTAGAAACAAAGGTGATGAGGGACTATGTCATAATTAAATATGATTGGCTTTTACTAATATCTGAGTCAGAGATGAAACATCTATTTCAGACCTGAATCTGAGCACTTTTATCATGATAGAAGAGTAAGAAGAGGCTTCAGGAGGGTGAGAAAGAAAAAAGTGTCATGTTCCCTTCCCTCAAATTTTTCTTCCTGCTCTGCAGCATAACCTCTTTCCTTGGAAGTTTTAAAGCAGAGCTTGGATAGCCATCTGCCATAGATGTTTTAGTTGAGATTCTGGCATTGTAGGGGGTTGGACAATATGACCCTTGGAGTCCCTTGCAACTCTACAGTTCTATGATATGACATCATTATGATACTCTCTGTGAACAAACTAACTGCCATCATTTTTCATTGTATACAATATCACATTTGTGTTTACCTCGTGAAAGACAAAGTGAGCCATGTATTTATACTATATTTAGTGCTTTTTTCTGGGGGTACGCAGGGGTACCCCTAAACATTTTATGAATCTAAGTTTGGCCTCATTGAGAGGCAGTATTTCAATATGAGTAGGAAAGTGAGAGTACCCCTACAATTTTTTTTAGAAAAAAAGCACTCGTATGTGTGTACGTGTGCGCGCGCAGATAATGTATTTATCAAAGCATATAGCTAAAG